TCTTTAGAAATCATATTAATGTATTTTACGAACCAATTTCACAGTGCCAGTGGGCTTCTGAAGGATCATCACGGATTTCATATTAAAGCTTATCCGTATTAAGAAGACCATTTTGTTTTCACGATAATTAATTGGATATATAAGTTTGTATATGTTATATGTACTATCTTCTTTTAAGTCTGTGATGTAACTATGTACGAGTATATATGTGTGGTAAATTACAAGTTTAATTAGGTACATATATAGAAGGATTCCAAGGTCTTTATTGAGATACACTACAAATATCTCTTGGCTCCTAAACTAATTTAAGAGCTTCTAAACTTCTGTCTAGAAAAATTAGTGGACATCTTATAGTATTAAATATAATCATAAAAGTAAAAAAAACCAGCAATTTATGATGAGAGGTTTACAAAACTTAGAATTTACTTAATTTCCGTTCGCAATTCAATTTTCAAACATGTTATGAATGAAATACTTTCTTAGATTTACGCGAATATTTGAAATTTTAATAAAAACTATCTTTTGGGATTTTTTCGCGGTTTTATTTTGATTTTTGGTTCCCAATGTTTCATCTCTCATATGATCGTGATTGCTGTATAGTGTGTAGCATTCGAAACGTCGCGTCGGGAAGCAAAAAGCAAAATAATTCTGCGAAAAATGCTAATAGATAGTTTTAATAAAATATTATGAATGGTTAATTATATTAAAAAAATATCGATTTGATACAAAATGCGTCAACTTTGTGTCGATTCCTAGTTTTATTCAATAAGGGTTATTACTCATTCTTCCTGCTAGTAGTATCTACTATATTATTTCAGATTCATCTCAAGTGCTTTAACTATTCCACTGGAATAGTTGAAGCAAACAAAGTCGGTCAAACATATCTTCATATCCGTTTATAGGAGCGCATTTGATGCATTCAGGCAGAATAGTAAGGACCACGAGAAAAACAAGGCAGCGGCATGTTTCATGTTGGATGGTCGCCAAAAAGCAAGAACTCGCTTCTCAGATAAGCGTCTTTGAAACAGGATCTGTATATATAACAGTGTTGACAGATCCCTACGCTTTTATTTAGTTTTAAGATCAAAAATAACCTGTTCGTTTAAAAATTCCGCATTTGTTAAAGTCTTAACGAACTTACTGACGCGACGCTAAAAATAAAGAATTTGTCATAACTTTTAATTAACTAAGTACCTGAGCTGACTTAAATTAATTTTCTATTTTGATACATTTATAATTGTCAGTTTTTTTTATTTATATTAGCCTTACGCCCGATTTCACCAACAACCCATAAGCTACCACCTACGTATGGGATCTTTAGCTTAAAAGTCCCCTAAACTAGCCTCTAAATTAAATTTCGTTTTACGATCGTCTTTAAGCCCATATTTCGAGCACCTAAATTTATGGGGCCTTTTAATATTTATGTGACCCCTAAATTTCGGTGAAACAGAAACTGTCCCCTAACAGCCCCCTAACCATGCTTAGGGGATTCCTTAAACTTAGGCGACGGTGGTGAAATCAGGCTTTGATCCTCCTCCTAACTTTTATAAGACTACTAGCGATTTACCCTCGCTTGGGTACCGCTGCTCGTATCTACTAAATTTTTTATTCCTATGTACATACTAAATTTCATTCAAAACCATTTAGATTCTACATCCTAGTCATTTCAGAGTAAAGACGTAACCAGAAACTTACACATATACATTTACAAACTTTTGCATTCATAATACTCGTAGTAGTCCATTCAGGTTGAATATAAACTTTATACAGGTATGTAAATAATAAAAAACCAATCTTGCTATACTTGAATAGTAGAACCATGTACTTTTTATAATAAATATATAAATATATACTGTTAATCATATTTATGTTAAGAACAAGTTATTCAAATTATGTCAAAGTTAAACATAAGAAATATTTTTTTTTATGAATCAAAAGTAATAAAGTAAGAAAGTGAATAAATGATGAATGAAACTCTTATGTCCATATTTTGATTAAATCTATAGAAATATATTTTTATTGACTATAAAATTAAGTCAAAGTATAAATTGAACAATTATTTAGAAAATTTGAACGTATACTTCATGAAAATTGCGAGCTTACCACGCGATGTTCAAAGAAAAAACTTAATTCGTAATAGCAAGTTAATTAAGTACTTAATAATGAAAATGAAATTATCTAGAAATACCGACGTTATATAAAGTTACTAGTGACTTATCCTTACATCACTCGGATGCTTTCCTAAGTGCCTTTTGCATTAGCAATATTATACGTAGACAGCGCCATTTTTTTGTCAATTTATTACTAAGTAGCGACTCACCCTCGTTTCGCTCGGGTTCGTCTCTAGGTTGATTCCCTATACAAACTTTCATCCCCATTTTCACCCCCTTAATTTCTATATGATGATCTAAATCGGTATACTAACACAATATATTTTTGTTATGTATGTCAATCAATGCGGCTTTGCAAATTGGCAAAAGATATGCTGTCAATAAAACAATTGTATGCTTCTAATATTATTGTGGATTCCAAGATGGGATTAACCAGACTTGGACATCGTCCAGATTTAGTCTATTTTGTTTTAGTGTCCACAAAATGTGAGTATGTAACAACGTTCTGGTATGAGTGTTCGGTAATTGCTAAGAATTGCAGTTTATGTCTTTGTAACAATAAACGACCATTGGTCCTAGTTATAGCTCGTCTGACGACACGTTTGGCTCAGTTTGTAGTGACCCTACTTGCTATGCCAGCGGTCGCGGGTTCGAGTCCCGCTGGGGGCATCCATTTGTGTTATGAGCACGAATGTTTGCACTCCAGTCATGGGTGTTTATATTTATAATATGTATGTATACAAAGTTATATATGTGTAGTGTATCAACTATCTGGTATCTATAACACAGGCCTCGTAGCTTACCATGGAACTAGATGGTGATGTGTGTTAATGTCCCAATATATTTATATTTATAGCTTGACTTAATGTAGAAAAAAAATCAATATTATAATTAGGAGTTCTGCGAACAGTAGAACTCGCGAAAACAAACTGCATTCTGAGAAGCTATTTTGCTCATCACGCCGAAGATCCTCATCAGACCTTTACCAAATTCCCCGAAGATAAAAAAAAAGTCGTAAAACCAGTATACCAAGTCATTCATCTAGATTGGTTGTAAAATACGACCTGTAGAGAAGTACCAACAAACTGACACAGGAAAGCAAATTTTACTAGACTTGAAGCAGAGACGCTTCGCTCGCTCGGTCAATTATTTCTATTATTTCATAATAAATTATTTCATATTATTATGTATCTAATTAATATTTTTATATATAAAATATTATACTACATGCATACTGCCTTTAATTTCATGTGAGTGTTATCTTTATCTATAAGTTTTGTCTTATAATAGCTGAAAGTATAAAAGATAATAAATTGCAAAAAGCGGATTTTAGTGGGTCATCCTCTTTTTTTTAAAATGTACTTATGGTCTTTTTAAAACAGTTGACAGAATAAGAAATAAAGCCAATACTAAAGAAGATCTAGTTTTCAGTTTAATAAGACGTTTAAAAAGTAGATTAAATATTGAATGTTCAATATGAACCTTTGACCACTATACTGCTTTAAGTATTTCTTCATTCATATTGAAATGGATTATACTTCGTATCTTTAGAAATTAGAAATCAAACATCACAAGGTAAGTTCGTTTAATTCTCAACTATTATTAATAATAAAATAATCCGAATTCTTCAGCAAAATAGGTTTAAAATTTTGCTATTAACCTTTGTGAAACACCAGGGAAAAGCTTTAGAAATCATTCTTTAAAACTTTAACTTAAATTCACATTTATATTCTAGAAAAGACAAGTCGGTCTAAGGATAAACAAAATAATCTTATAAAAGCATAAATTATATTGTTTAAAGTTTGTTACAACTTTGATTAATTAACGTTTCATTCTATTGTCGGTCCACGTAATTAAGCTCTCAAGCTCACGCCCCTAGGAAGTCGAGACTCGAGACATGTATTCGCACCGCAAAAACTAGCCAGCTCGTGTCACCAAGGACCTACACAATATTATACTGTAAAGTGTACATTATGTTCGAAGTTAAATTTTTATTTAATTATAATAGATTTCTAAATAATACAATATGCTATAATTTTTGTTTTTAATATTTCGTTTCAACAGTTATTATTTTTTTCATAAATTATTTTATTTTTTTCTAACCGTTTTTCCTAAGGATTGTAAATGAAGCAAACAAGGCTTCCTAACCTTTATTAATATATGTACATACATACATTGTGTTACTAATAATTGTGATTTACAACGAAGTTATTTAACAAGTGTTGCTTTATAGATATTAGATATATACCTATAACATATGTAACTCACTTTATTATATATGTATTAGATCAGTGCTTTTCTGTTAGATCATCATAGAAAAAATCGAAGTCATAAGAAAACGATTATCCAAAACATATGACGTAAGAATATGTCATAGACTACTAGATATCACGCTTGAATATTCCGTTTCAAATCCGTACTAAATGAATTGTGAAGGACATGGTTTAGAAGATCATAACATTTTGTTCACACGTTGTTGCAATGTGATTTTTAAATTATCGTGTAGGTAAGCTATACATAAGCTGTACAAGCTACAGGATAAAAAATAAAATAACAAATCTACTTTTTTTTTTGAATGTTAAAATAGATGTTTTACATTTAGGTACTATTATTTCACTTTTATACTTAGTCAAGTTTGCTTATAATTTATATGAAATGGATAGCTTTTACTTAATAATTCAAATTATCTCAAACTAGCGACATATCTTCGATTTGCTCGAGTACATCTTGGTGCCTAACAATAGTCTATATATTACTTTAGGTTATACTCTATAGTACAAAAATTTATCAAATTCATCCAGCGTGAAGGAGTAAGAACCACGTATATACAAACTTTTATATATATAATAGTATGTAGTCCGTTTGTCAATAAAAATAATATTAACGCACCTGACTGTTAGGGAACGTTGCGAACGCAGATTGAACTTTATGTAATGCATGGTCTTGTTGATGGGGTGGTGGCGGTCTTCCCTTAGGGAAGTGGAACCGCGGTATGACTCGTGATGGGCCCGCCGCCCGCACTGACCGCTGAAGGGTTGTATGCGCAGGCGCCGACGACGGCTTAGGAGGTGTGGATGCTGCGTAGTTCTGGAAAAGAAATACTAAGTTAGATAAGGAATTTTAATAGGTACTACTAAAATTCAATTTTTTTTATTATTTTACTAGTGATTCTACATCCCCTTCTCATTTATAATATTGCGAAAGCAATCAGAAGAGATTTTGTTCAATGTAAATCATGAATGTCATACCGGTAGCTTAATTTCGTAATATGTTCATAAATTACAGCCTTCCTAGACAATTACTCTTTTTGTTGTTGAAAACCGTATGAAAATCCGTATAGTACTTTCCGAAATTAGCCGAAACAAACACAAACCTAGTGTGGCTGCAGGAGACTAATTTGTAATATGTTAACCGTGGGCCGTAAATAAAAACGTGAAATAATGCAAAAAGTAACTAAAAAGATTCCAGAAGTTTTACTCAATTCGATTGTTCTGTAAAAACAATAAGCGTTAATTGAGGAAGTGTTAATAAGTAATAATTACAATGTTAATCTTACCCATTAACTACACATAAGATTCTATTTATGTACTAAACAAAAATTTAATATGGAGTTGAATGAGTTTTATTTAAATGACGTTAAACCTTCAAAGTTCGTTTTCTTCACATAGCAACAAATAGATTTGTCCATACAAAGGAACGTCTTTGATAGCATCACTAGCATTCTACTTCTTACATGGACGTATGGCTGAGACAAAATTATTTGCCATTACTTTTGTCCTTTTTGTGACCAAGGGTAAAATTGTCGTTGAGGTTAGACGAGGTCAAAGTGTTGAGGGTAAAGCTGAATACTTTACGACCATAAATCATTTTTATTAAATTTTTTTGCTTTCTGATGATATTGGTCAAATATATGTATAATACCTTTTATTTTTTTAAAGTGAAAACTTCTATAGGCAGGTTTGGATGGGAAGCAAATTCATGTAAGTCGTCATCGACATGGTCACGTAACGTGTTAATGCTAACATGCCGAGTGCCGATAGATGTTAAAACCAGATAAATGTAAACAGTTTTCATTTACAAATTTTAATTTAAGATCAAACAATTATTATAAATATTCAAAAATAACGACTGTTTGTTTATAGTTTTAAGTTTTCACTTCTGTCGGCAGTGCTCATGACTGTTTTTTATATTTTTTTATTTCAACTCTAACTTCGGACGATGACGTTTGGAGTCGTTTTAATCAATATATTTACGAGTAGGTATATGTATAGAAATAGGTATATATATATATATATACATATTTTTCTTATACTACTAAGTCGTAACAAAAATTTATGGCACAGTATTTGTTAGAACACAAACTATGGAAACTGGATAATTTCGCGTTTTTAAAAATTTAAAGTGAGTCATGATACCATATCAACGTCAAGGAATTGATTTATGAAATAACTGTACGTCAAGTATTGATATACAAAAACTCAAAAAACACAATTAGCGTCTCAAAAGCTTCCTCAAAAAATGTGCACATTTCGAAATCATTGAATTACGTTTTTTTTTAATCTTTTGGTTCATTGCTTTTCGAATGACAAAATTAAAACTCATGTTGTTTTGTTTGGAAAAGTACTTTATATGGTGTGCGTAAGTTAGAATTCGTGTTTAGATAGAATTTTAGATTTTTGAATTTTATTCTTTGGCTTGTTTAAACGTCACAAGCCGACGCCACTTTTTGTAGAGATATTTGTTGGGAATATCTTTTGAAAGTGTTTTGGTTTGGGTTGTGTACATGTATATATGACGTCAAGACGTTAATTTATAAACAAACGCAATATTGGGTTGGGTCACTTATTAGAAATAAAATCGATATAAATATTATTATTTATGACTAGCATTGCCCGCAGTTGCGCCCACGTTCAGATAACCAAAAACTGAATTCTTAGGTTTTACATATTAGTATACTCTCACATTGCAGGTTTTGCATTTTTTCTCAGAAATGACATATTTTCCCGCGGTAAAAAGTATCCTATACGTTGACCCGGATAACCAGCAAGCACCATACCAAATTTCATCAAAATCCCTCCAGTGGTTTTCCTGTAATGCGGTAACAGACAGACAGACAGACAGACAGACAAAAATTCTAAAAACTATAGATTCGCCCTCTGTATGGATAATAATGTTTATTTCAATAAGATTTTCCAAAAAATATTTAATGTACAGATTCGGCTTAGTTACAATTTTATTATATGTATAGATTTTACATTTATGTTTTCGTTGATATGAAACGTTGATTATAAATGTTCAGGCTTAAGTTTACCTTGAGCATTTAGTTAGGCGACTCAGTGAAAATGTCTAGTTTAAAGGTAAAGCATTCATATACTGATGTTGATACAGCAAAGTGTTTCATACTCGTACAAAGTAAAATAGCTACACCCGTAGCGCAACGCCTACGTCTCAATCAACGCTAGTTAATATTTTTCGTCAACTTTTGGAGCTAATTAATAAGATTATTCGCAAACTTACCAATGACCTAGATTTGTTTCATAAGTTTTGGAAATTATATTTTAAGAGCAAGTTTAAACAATACTTTCTTAGATTTACGCGAATATTTCATATTTTAAATAAAACTATCTTTTCGGATTTTTTCGTGGATATTTTGATTTTTTAGTGTAAAGTAAAAATGGAGTAAAAATAAATGGTTATTAATTATTTCTTATTACAGTATATTATTTTCGTAGTTTTATATTTTTCCATATAGCTATAATATAAAGAACAACATTGTCATGGTACATATCGCTTAAAAGATATTTTTACAGGGTTTCTATCGAAAAGCCAGTACTACCCACTAAAACCTAATAAAATCTTCCCCCGTCTTAATGTGACGTGTAGGTTTGCTTACGCACTCAACTACGAAGCCCCGACGGCAGGTCTCCGAAGCAGACCACAATAACCATGGGGTTGTTCCACAGTCCACTCTGCTATTAGAGAAGACAACCCGCATGGTACACCGCCTACCGAAGTGGGCCACCTCCCTGTGCGTTCCTTAGATTCGCGCCTTCGGCTGGATTGCCAGTCACTACTGACCCCCCCCCTCCCCTTCCTCCCACGACAAGGTGAACGCACGTTGAGGGAGAATACGTTATACCTATGTCAAGGGTGAATAATTAATTTTAAGCTATTATTTTGAAACCAGTGTATCCTTTTTATTTAAAAGTTATTTTATTTTATACTAGTTTTGGTCCGCGGCTTAGCTCGCGTTATAAGTGTGGCGGGTATCAAAGGTACATAGCATATGTCGGTCCCCAGGATGCAATTTATGTTTTTGTCAGGTAACGACTTAACAGACAGACAGAGTTACTTTTAAATTTATAATATTATTAGTATGGACATGGTAATACTTTATGATTTCTTAATGATTTCACATTTGTTTACTAGCTTATTTGAGGCTTTAAGACATTTTTCATTGTACGGTTAATATTTTTAATTTTGAATAGAAAATAAAGTAATAATAATCTTAATACTCGCTCATAAATATTTTTATTTACAATCTAAATAGGATAAAATACGTGAAAGTCGTATAGCATATACATAGCTTTTCATATTATTAATCGGCTTAAAATATTACAGTATAAATAACGTCGTCGGCGCGGTTAGATACGATCTCATTTTAGAATGAATTGGTACGTATCGAAAGTATGAGTTTGAACATGTGATTTCATCGTTTACATATTGTATTGATGGTCTAATCAGTTTAGCACTTGATAAAATACATAGATATTATATAATCAGTCATATATAATCAGTCTGCATAAATAGCATTAGTAAAAAAATGTAACCCTTTATGAATAATTAAAACAAATTGATATTATAAATAAATATGAAAAAAAAACTATATAATTTTTTTTATATGGATATTTTTAACTATCTACTAGTGTTATAAACGCGATAGTTTGTAAGTATGGATGTATGTTTGTTAATTGATCTGGATGAAATTTGGCACAGAGATAGATTAGCCTGGAAAAATACATAGGCGACTTTTTATCCCGGAAAGATATACTCGGGAACCGTCCCGAGGGATAGATTTGTTTTTGTTTTTCGCTAGTATATAATATAACTATGTCTACCTACATCCCACAAAACTCATATATTTAACCACTTTGCCCTAAATGTTGTCATATCTATTTTTGAAACATTGATAAAAAATTAAAAAATTAGGAACGTTAGTTGATGATAGTATGTGAATTGTAATACAAGGTAAAATTAACAGATTTTTTATTTTTTCTATCTATAGATACACATATGATGTAAATATTGTATTACACTTGAGGTTGATCTGAAGGGAAGGCTCCTTGGAATTTTATAGTATATTTTGTATAAAAGCAAATAAATGTGATTTAATTTATAGTAACACCATAAAGGCCAACCTTTTAATACAACACCAACATAAATAAATGGATAATTCTATCTTCTTTATTTTATATTCTAAATAAATGTACATAACGAACTGGCTTGTCAAGTTTAATATTTATTTAAACAGCATTTTACAATAGAAAAAGTTACGTAAATTGTATAATAAGTACAATTCACTATATAGTGATTTTTATCGATTGCACTGTCCCGCTATTTCTGGCCACAGCTGCAGTCTGCTGAATTTAGCTAAGTGGTTCCCACTCAAGCTATACTAGTCTTGTCGGTCTGTGACCCTGTTATGCACCGATTTTATAAATTTTATTGTATTGGCACACTGTATCGAGTTTATCCTCCAATTATATTATCTATATCATTTACTCTGAAACAACTTTTGTAAGAAGACAGTTTTTTAATCTAGAAATGTTTAAAATATATTAGTAAAGTGCGACAATCACAGGCGGAAAAGATACATAGTGATAAAAAAATGTAAGGTAATTTTAAAGTCAATAAATATTCAGCAAATACTTTATATCCGAAACTAATCGGTCAAATTAATGAAAAAAAATTACATACCTACATACAGTACGCAGGTTAAATTCACCGATTGAACTCTCATAACTTTATAGATATAAAATTATCCTTTTTTAAATTTTGTATTATTAAGTAAATAAAATAGATCAGCATTCATGTCTAAGTTTTCAATAGTTCGCCTACTAAATTTCCTTCCACTTAGCTACTAAATTTATTGATTACTGCATGTAATACTCTAACTGCAAACGTTTCTCAATGTAGGCGTATAATATTATTCACTGTTCAAATATCATCTGCTTAAATTCATGCAATTTTTTATATTCTGGCGTTTTAAACAATATCTAGAAAGGCTACATCTTAAATAAACACTAAGGAAGTACAAAAGGTACTAGTTTTTAGGGTTCTGTACTTCAAAAGGTAAAAAAAAGAAACACTTATAAGATCACTCTCTTATCCGTCTGTCTGTTTGTCTGTCCGTGTGTCACCACCGATTTTCTCAGGAACGGGTGAACCTAGCAAGTTGAAATTTATACCAGATACTGAGGTCTATAGTCCCTATTAGATGTATAAAAATCAAGGTCAATACGATAAAAAGATATGGGCAAATTTAGATTTTCGTGAAAACTTGTAAGTACCAAAATTTACCTTTATTTTCAACTTTTTTATTTTTCGGAATTTTCCCTCTACTTGTGCTGTAAGACCTTGCTTTTAACCAAAATTGACATTTCTAGGTCAACCGGAAGTACCCTATAGGTTTTGGGTCGAAAACCTATATGGTAGTTCCCGTTGACATAGAATCAAGAAATTTGGCAAAAAGCAAGGTCTTACAGCACAAACAAAGGAAAAATTGCAAAAAAAAAAAAGGGAAATTAATGTAAACAGATTTCCTACAAATTTGTACGGAACCCTCGGTGAGCGAGTACAACTCGCACGTGTCCGGATTTTTTTTTATGGGACTAAGGGGGCAAACGGGCAGGAGGCACACCTGATGGAAAGTGATCACCGCCGCCCATGGACATCTGCAACACCGCAGGGCTTGCAGATGCGTTGCCGGCCTTTAAGGAAAGAATACGCTCTCTTCTTGAAGGTCGCCAAGTCGTAGCGGTTCGGAAAGACCGCCGGCGATAGCTGATTTCACAGAGTGGTTGTGCGGGGCAGAAAATGCCTTAAAAATCGCACTGTTGTGGAACGCTGGACATCGAGGTGGTGTGGATGGAATTTAATATTTTGGCGCGATGTCCGATGATGAAATTCAGCAGCCGGGATCAGTCCGAACAATTCCTCGGAACATTCCCCGTGATAAATGCGGTAGAAGATGCAGAGTGATCCAACATCTCTACGCAGAGCTAAAGGATCAAGCCGATCGGAGAGAGCTTGATCGTCGATAACTCGAGCCGCTCTACGTTGAATGCGGTCAAATGGAAGTAGCTGGTACTGGGGAGCTTCCGCCCAAAGATGAGAACAGTACTCCATGTGGGGCCGAATTTGCGCCTTATAAAGAATAAGACGCTGACGCGACGTGAAGTACTGTCTCGCCTTGCTGAGCACACCAAGCTTCTTCGAGGCCAGTTTGGCCTTACCTTCCAATTGACCACGGAACTGGACGTTGCTCGAGATGTCGACGCCAAGTATTCCGATACTGGCTGTGGGAGACAGAGGAGTGTCCTCAAATTGAGGAGCTACGATAAATTGCGACTTTTTTAATTTTTTCAAACTATAATTATCAAATACTAGTTACCAGCTTTAGTTAAGCCCTAACTTTTATTGCAAAAAGTTTGTATCCAGTGTTAATACACTGGAATAAAAACCTATTTCCATTGTCTATCTCTATATCTATAGCATTCTTTGTTGTTGTTTGAAAGAAGAGGAAATAAAAACCAATGAACAAATCAAGTTATATGGTACTGCTGAGTTTTATTATTATAAGGCATTTTTTTAACGTAAACAAAAAGTATATTTTTGAAATGACCCATAATAATATGAATAGAAAAAAAAAATAAAACAGTTTAGTATAGTGATGTTAGCTAGTGTTATTAATATTATTTTTTGGAAATAGTAATTTTTTTTATATAGATTTTATTCATATATGTTTTCCTCAAAATTTCAATTATGATTTTGGTCAAATTTCGCTTCACTGGGCGAACACTTACACTGGATTAACACGTTCGCTGCATTACGAGATCTATCAGATCTCTTGCAGGACTTTTGTATTGTGCGTTGACTATAATCGTGTTGTTTCACTCCTTGCGGGAGGCTCTAACGTGTAAAGTTCTTTAAGTATGAGTAAGACAAATATACATATTTGCTTCCTACTTAAAGGTGAATTCAAGGACATAAAAAAAAAAATAGTGATGGATTAGGTCCCTAACGCACAGTAGTATAATT